CCCAAATGGTGCAGACAGACCCACCACCAAATGCTGCAGACACTCCCACCACCAAATGGTGCAGACACTCCCACTACCGAATGGTGCAGACACTCCCACCACCAAATGGTGTAGACACTTTCACCACCAGATGTTGTAGACACTCCTACTCCCAAATGGTGCAGACAAGACCCACCACCAAATGCTGCAGACACTCCCACCACCAAATGGTGCAGACACTCCCACCACCAAATGGTGCAGACACTTCCCACCACCAAATGGTGCAGACACTCCCACCACCAAATGGTGCAGACATACCCACCACCAAATGCTGCAGACAGACCCACCACCAAATGGTGCAGACACTCCCACCACCAAATGCTGCAGACACTCCAACTACCAAATGGTGTAGACACTCCTACTCCCAAATGGTGCAGACACACCCACCACCAAATGCTGCAGATACTCCCACCCACAAATGATGCAGACACTCCCACCACCAAATGGTGCAGACACTCCCACCCCCAAATTGTGCAGACACTCCCACCACCAAATTGTGCAGACACTCCCACCACCAAATGGTGCAGACACTCACACCACCAAATGGTGCAGACACTCCCACTACCAAATGATGCACACACTCCCACCACCCAATGCTGTTGACACTCCCACTACCAAATGATGCAGACACTGCCACCACCAAATGGTGCAGACATCAACCACCAAATGGTGCAGACACTCCCACCCCACATGGTGCAGACACTCCCACCACCAAATGCTGCAGACATCAACCATCATATGGTGCAGACATCAACCACCAAATGGTGCAGACACTCCCACCCCCACATGGTGCAGACACTCCCACCACCAAATGCTGCAGACATCAACCACCACCAAATGCTGCAGACATCAACCACCATATGGTACAGACATCAACCACCAAATGCTGCAGACACTCCCACCACCAAATGGTGCAGACACTCCCACCACCAAATGGTGCAGACACTCCCTACCACCAAATGCTGCAGACACACCCACCCCCAAATGGTGCAGACACTCCCACCACCAAATGCTGCAGACACTCCCACCCCCAAATGCTGCAGACATTCCCACCACCAAATGCTGCAGACACACCCACCACCAAATGGTGCAGACACTCCACCACCAAATGGTGCACACACTCACACCACCAAATGGTGCACACACTCACATCACCAAATTGTGCAGACACTAACATCACCACCAAATGCTGCAGACATCAACCACCAACTGGTGCAGACACTCCAACCACCAAATGGTGTAAACACTCCCACCACCAAATGGTGGAGACATCAACCATCAAATGGTGCAGACACTCCCACCACCAAATGGTGTAGACACTCCTACTCCCAAATGGTGCAGACACACCCACCAACAAATGCTGTTGACACTCCCACCACCCAATGCTGTTGACACTCCCACCACCTAATGGTGCAGGCACTCCCACCACCAAATGGTGTAGATACTCCCACCACCAAATGATGTTGACACTCCTACCACCCAATGCTGTTGACACTCCCACCACCAAATGTTGCAGACATTCCACCACCTAATGGTGCAATTGGACAGTTTCAGTTTCTGTATTCTCATGATCATGATGGAGACTACTATTCACCTGGCATTTATACCATTGATTCAATTGTGAATCCAAAAAATGATACTGTATGAGCAGAGCTGTTTTCGGATATACTTGAATCAGGTATTGGGAGGAATCATTATTCATTTTCCTGTTCTGATAGGTCATAGGTTGTCTTTTACAAGATTTGTGAGTCTCAAGAGTTTCACAAAAAATT